TGGGGATGATAAAAGAATGAGAGATGAGAGTGGTTAGGAAATAAAGGAGATAGAATATATAACATTAAAACTAAATTCCCCAAAACCTTAAAAAACCATATAAAACTGTTTTTGAGTTTTTATTGTAAATTCAATTCTGAGTTTTATTTCTCTTATCTCTTAAGTTATTTCATCTCTATTATCCTTTTCTTCTATCTTCCCTCTCTTTCTTTAATTAAAAAAGAAGAAGAAGAAGACCACACAAAAAACCATTGTCAATAGGTTCTCAAATTTTTTGAATAGTTTAATTTTGGTCCTTGTAGTTTGACCTGTTTTTCACTTTGATTTGTCATTTTAATTGGCAATTCACTCCTGTAGTTTTATTTACTTAGCAATTAATTCCTACAAAAATAGACAGAATGCTTATATGGTCCTGATTACAAACTTTATGGAGAGACAAGAATTCCCTTACATGTGGTGGTTGCATGTTGCCACGTTGACAGAGTTACGATTTGGACTTGATTGCAAACCAAACAAAACTACATTTGAATGCCCTCACATGTGGTGGTTGCGTGTTTCATATGTTTTTTTAATTTCAGTATAATTATATGGAGAGCTTTCTTAAAACTTTGGGTTTATGTATACCTGTTTCATATTCTATTTTAGCTATTGGACGTTTTACTGGTCTATTTTTTCGGTTTGTGTTTAGGCTGTACCAGGGCAAGCCTTGCAGGGTTCTTACTACTATGGACCGCGTTCCAGTTCACACTACTTCTCCACTATAAAAGGTTTGCTCTTCTGCATGGTCATGGGTGTTGTAATAATGATAGTTTAAGATAAAATTATTTTGATATCTTCAATGTCATGTTATTTGGCCTGTACGGTGCTTCATCATGGTGTGATATTATCTTTTAGAATTTTTTTTTTTACTTCTTTGTTTATGCCAACTGCAGAGGATGAGGAAAGAGAGGAACTCGCAAAGGAGATTTCGAAGGACTGGAGTTCTGGTAATCCCCCTTCCCCTCAAGAAAAAAGGGAAAAAAAGAAAGAAAAAGGAAACCATTATTTTTGTTCTTAATTTGGTGTTATTACAATATTTTAGGCTATGTGAAATAATAGCCTTATTTTTTAATTACTGCAGTCTTTGAGCGAAGCATAAACACATTGTTCCTCACTGAAATGGTTCGAGGTCTGATGCTGACGCTTAAGTACTTTTTTGAGAAAAAAGTTACTGTAAGTATCTTCCAATACACATTGCCAAGTTCACTTTTCATTTTTCCGTGGTGAACTATGAAATCTATCTTTTGTTTTGCAGATCAATTATCCATTTGAGAAGGGCCCTCTGAGTCCTCGTTTTCGTGGTGAACATGCCCTACGGCGATATCCTACGGGAGAAGAGCGTTGCATTGCTTGCAAACTTTGTGAAGCTGTAAGAGTTGAAAACTCTTTTGTGGCTATTTTAGGTTTCAAATATGAATTAAGGACAACACATAAATTTAGGTTATGATTCCTGCCTGCCAAAACTGGTTAGAAAATTTCATAATTCTTCATCTAGTATATCTGGGTTAGTACTTGTTTCTGCTTTGATGTTTATTTTTATTGTTGATATGCATTCCTTGAGCTGCCAATGGGCAGAGCCTGCTTTGTCATCTTGGACAATACCTAGAGCTAGAGGCCAGACAACGCTGCCTCCTGTCACATTCAGCAAACTATGTTGGATTTTTGGCCTTGTTTGGCAGCTGTACCTCATTGATGTCTAATTACTTTCCAGATTAGGATATATTCTTGATGTGCACACGTAGTGTATCATAGTATTCTGCTGTTACACTGATATTTGTATACACGGTGTGTTTTCTGCTCTTATGCTTTATTCCTTTGCCTAGGATGTAATTCAGTCTCATGTAGAATTTGAAGTATCATTTGACTGCGTAAATCCGCAACAGGCTAGCTTCATGTGTTACTATGTTATAAGGCATGAGCAGCTGAATATGACATTTTAACTCACAAAGCAGTTGTTTTTCTCAGATATGTCCGGCGCAGGCAATCACAATTGAGGCTGAGGCACGAGAAGATGGTAGCCGTAGGACTACTAGGTGAAGGATGACTCTCCCTTCTTCCTCTCCCCTCTCTTTTCCCTCTCAATCTCCGCCTCACACTCGTCTAGTTTTTCAGGTATGACATTGACATGACAAAGTGCATCTACTGTGGATTCTGTCAAGAGGCATGCCCTGTTGATGCCATTGTAGAAGGACCGAACTTTGAATTTTCAACAGAGACTCATGAGGTTACTGAGCATCCTTTCTATTGACTCATAGCAACTAATCCTATGTCTTCATCTTTATTCTAATCGCATTTTCTGACAACTGATCCAAGGCACTCTTTTCTGCTGCTGTTGCAGGAGCTTCTTTACGACAAAGAAAAGCTGCTCGAGAATGGAGACAGATGGGAGACTGAGATTGCTGAGAACCTCAGATCTGAAAGCCTCTACCGCTGATTTTCCACCCCATGGTTCTTTCCCAGTTACCATACTCGCACTTTCTTGACTTTTTGATGATGTGGAAAAATAATAGATCCGTGCATGGATCTTAAAGAGGTTGTATTGTTGGTATTTTATTACCCTAATCTTTGTAATTGAGTCATTGTAAGTAATGATTCCAAATGCAAGGGATCAAGTTTTTTTATGTAAGATCTTTAAACATGTTGAGCATGGTTGGACGTGAATTTTTACCAATTTATGGACCATCCTCTAGTTTCGCTTGAACAATGTGAGTTAGTAGAGAATTTGGGTGTTGGAGAAGTTGAAGTCTACTGACCATGATCCTTTTTACCAAAGAGTTCCTCCAAATTTTTATATTTGATCTCAATTGTACCGATCAATGGAAGCAAAAAGAGGGCCCCCCATGGTCACTAGCATCGGGGGGCCGCTGGTGAGAGGTAAATAGGAAGAGGAGAACGTAGCATATCCCACTCTGATACTTCGAGGGTTTTATTTTTACTCTTTATTTTTGGTAACAGAAAAAAAAAACACGTAAAGGAAAAAAATGGGAAACTCATGAAACGAGAACTGTATAATACTCATTAGCAAGTTGACGGTTTTACGGACTAAATTGACAGAATAGGAAAACGTGAGACATGGAATAATAATACAATGAAATGAGATTGAGTCAATTCCTGTTTTTTTTTTTTTTTTTAAGGGAAGATACCAAATTTATCGAGTTTATTTGAATAATGGAGAAAATAAAAAAAATAAAAAAAGCAAGAAAAGTAGAATTAGCACGGTAGAAGGAGGAGTTCTAGACCGCAGGCGATCCTAACCGTTGGTTTTTTTAACCTCGTTCGTATAGGAAAGATCCCATACATACCCATATATTTTACAATTCATAAACGCCACTCAAAACCAAATAGTTATATTGGAATCTCAATTCAAATTCAGGTATATATCTAAATTTAAATTTATATATACTACCTGACTTGTTTTATTATAATGTTGTTAATGATTTGTTATATATTTGATAATGAGTGGTGATTTCCCCACTCCTTTTTCTCCTATTTTATCCACTTACACTCCTTTTTTATAACTAAAAAAGGAGCGTAAGTGGATAAAATAGGAGTGAGGAAATCATTGCCCTTGATAATTCATGTATATATTTGGTTAGGCATTGTTAACCGCGTATCCTTCTCGTATAGACGACTTGGTCCATATCCGGGGGCTTGGGCCCATACTGGACCTTTGAGTATGAATAATCTCTAAAGAAAGATCTACACACTTCAAACGATATCAAAATAAGGGTGGACTGGGGTCGATCCCAGTCTAAGCCTCTCCGATGGTTAAGTCAGTAACTAACTTGAGCTGGATAGAGAATGGATGTAGGGTTTTATTATGAGAGGATTTATTACCTTTGTCCAAAGATAGGTGAGGGGTATTTATAGGGGAAGAATGAGAGACTAAGATATTTTATGGGATATATCTTTTTTTACCCCCCATAAGTTTGAATCATATTTAATGCTCTGTTTCTAATCACCATACTTTGTGACAGGGTCAGGTGGCAAAGTGATAGGTAAACAAGGATAGGAGATGTATTAAATGTTCCCTTTCTATCACCAACTTGTTTTTTCAGAGATTTGAAGGGTAAAGCGACACCTGCTTGAGAATGGGATGTGCATTAACTAACCCTTCTTGGTTGTTAGGTCTATCCATCTCAAGGGCGATAGTGATCAATTTGGCAAGGGTCAGGTTAAGCTTGTCGATCATCCATGCACTTCTGGTTGGAACAAAGCAATGGTCCAATCTCTGGTTCATCGTCTTCCGATTGGTCGGTGTGCAAGCAACTTGGTCTGTCATGGCCACATGGCATCTTTTGATGAGCTCGACTCGTAGAGATAATATGAGCTATTAACAGGCATGATGATTGATTCACATAATTCATGTATATAATTAGATTTTCTCCTATACGAATGTCATGTATTTTCTAGTACCCTTCATGCTTTACTCTTTATTTATAATGGTATTCGTACTGTAATAACGTTAGGACGTCCGAATGAGAGAAGAACTGATATTATAATTATACTATATACAATATGTTTGTTTTATAACATTAGGTCATGGTAAATTATTGTTCTGACAAGTTTTTTTTTTTTTCACTAACAAGAGGGTCAAAATAGCGTTCACTCGTACGTTTAGGAGGTATGATATGGTGAGTGATTTGTTGGGTGTGCATGCCCATTTTAAAACCAAACCCAACATCACCGAAGCCCAGCCTCAGTTTCAGACTAGTAGACCTATGTGTCAACAGCCCCTCCCTCCCCTTGCTTCTTCTTCGGCTCTTCTTCGATAAAACTGAATCAGTTTTCTTCTTGTTCTTCCACCCTTCTGCTTCGACAGTCAACCCTTGGGGTCTTGTAGTTATCAGCATTTGGTAGGTAAGTGAATTTGTAGTTTTATTTCAGTTGGTTCATTAGTTTTCTTTCGTTGTTAATCTCATAAACCCATTAAGTTAGAACTCGTTTTTGTTTTTGGTTTTTTTTTTTCTGCATATTCATTAGGTTCGGAGCCTGATTCAAGTTGTTAGGGTTAATTCAGCAATTCCCTCTTCATTTTGTAGATTCTTTTCATGTTAATTAGCCTTTTCCTTTCCTAGTTCTTTCATTGTACAAGTTTTATGTCCAAAAATCAAACTTGCAAAAAATAAAATAAAAAATTTGCCAGAGTCACTAACCGCACTTGCAGCATTATATTCGGGATTGAAAATTTTCTTTAGAGTTCATGTAAATGAATTAGAGAATTATGACTTGACATGAAATTAGTCTCTGTATAAATGTAAAATCACATACTATAATTTACTAGGAGACTACTAGCAATATTTCAACAACTGAGCTTAAGGCTGCTGGTTTCTTAATTTTCTTCAGACCCCAAAATCAAATGGCAAATATCAGTATATTGCTCCATATTATAATAATCATGGTTCTGCTCATGTCAGATAGAGCGAGGAGGGAGCAATGGCAGAGGACGCAATTCTAGGATACCTGGAGAAAAACGATCATATTTCAGACTCAGGCCAGTTTGCAGCTGAACGCAGAATCGATCACAACGAGATTGTCAACGTTATCAAGAGTCTCCATGGTTTCAAATATGTTGACGCACAGGTGCTCAAACTTACTTGCCCCTGATTTTTCTTTCTTCGTCATTATTTGGAGAGGAGCAACAATTGGGATTTGTTTCAAGTGTTTATGCTCAACTCTGTTGTTTTTGGTTACTAGAAAGTTTTCTTAACTCAAACTAATGAAGAGTTTATCATTGAATCTTCTTGGGTTGCATGTACTTATAAATTCGAGCTACAAATTAACAAATTTTTTTTATGGATAGTTCACATTTGTCTGTGAAAGGAATTTCCTTTTGGTTGTTAGTTCTGGTTTCTTGTTGGGTTAAGTTCATTTTTTGTTTTACTTAATTGAAATTACACTAAATGTAAAATAGTGGGCTTCATGAGGGTTCTTGCTGTTGAATACCCTTTGATACTCGTTGATCTGCAGGACATTAAAAGGGAGACGTGGGTGCTTACTGATGAAGGAAATGCATATACTGCTACTGGATCACCTGAAGTGCAACTGTTCCTGGCCATACCACCAGAGGGTATTCCAAAAGAAGAATTGCAGGTGATTATTTATGGCTCTCGTCTTTAATTTAGAACATCTGATACGATGCTTAATTCATTGGTTCTATTCAATTGTGTTCTGTGCTTGTAGTTTCTCTCTGATCACGAGTTATTAATCTTCGATGCTACATGTGTTTTGAAACTGATGTTTTATTCAGAAAAAGCTGGATCCATCAGTTTTCAAAATAGGTTGCGCCCAGGCTGCAAAGAATAAATGGGTGGAGATGGGAAAACAACTTGTCACCAGAAAGGTAACACCTCACTAACGAAATCTATATATGTAATAATATCTGTTAGGAATGTTTTAGATATGTTACGTAGGGGCTATGATCTTCCTGGAATTGATCCTAATCCAGTATTTTGTTCCAGTTTATCCAAAGAAGCAGGCCCTTTTGTCAATTTATTTTGGCGTCATGGTTAATGGAGCCATGGATACTTGTTGTGTCAGGAGTCCTTCATGTTCTCCAATGAGAATCCAGCCAAAGACTTGTTATTAGGAAATTATTTATTTTATCTCTGATACACTAAAATATAATTTTTGTAGAATCTGTGATTGTATTTTAGTGTGTTTTCTTTCTCCCCTTCATTGATAATTATTATATGTTTCTCGTCGTTTGACTGTTTTCAAGATTTATTCTTTTATTTTTGTGTCTAATGGACTCTGATATTATTGTTTGTTTTATTTGCAGTTTTTTTTTTGGTCAAGATATGCGGTTCATTGGTGCTTTAAACATTCATTTGATACATTTTATATTTTTGTATACATTGTTTATAAATCAGCTTCGTTCTGTTTGTGTGTCTTTTTGTTTGAAGTGATTCTGGATGTATGTGGAATCCACAAATGTCTGATGATGCTAGTATAGCCATGTTTTGCCTCAGTTGTGCATGTATGATGTCTATGACTTGAATACTTCATTATAATTTTCTCGTTGTATGTTCTGCAGATCCAACATGTGGATGACAAAGTCAAGGATTTGCTTTTACAGATACAAGAAGGGCAGGTGCATAATATTTTTCAACATTGATAATCTCACATTGGATTTCAATGATATGCAATCATGCACATGCACTTATGTACACTGTGCGAGTATATGCTAGCTCTAAGCTTCAGTGATGTGTATACCATAGTAACATTATTGGAGGTGGGGGGATGGGTGTGTTTGTATCTTTTGTGGTGGGCTGGAGCCTGATCAAAACCCAAGGCTGTCTTGTGAATCATTCACATGGTTGTTGGGCCTGTTTATACTTTGATGAGCTGGGTGCATTATGTTTATAACTTTATCGTACATGAAATGAAATGAGATGGGGGTTTTTAAAATTTTTTAATTCAGTACCATGTTCCCTATCGGGTGCACATTTTCCACCATTCAGTAGATCATCTCTCCCTCGTTGTTTTTACCCTCTATTATAACTTTATTGGCAACTCATTTGGATTTTCTTTTCCTTATTTGTGATTGCAGGCCATCAACCAAGATGACATTAAGACTCTCAAAGCAAGAAAGCTTATTGTTCCACAGTAAGAATCAGATGCTTTTTATTTTCTTTGCTTATACAGTTCCCTTGTTTTTCTTTTGGTGCCAGGGGTTATCAATGAAATTTCTTTGGATATGGCCATATATTTTGTACCATAGAAGTTTGATTCTGGTTATTTCACCTGCAAAGGTTTCATACTCTGTTCATAGTGTTATTGTCTTTTTCTGTTTTCTTGCACTATAGAACGTGGAAGGGCTACTCAGTGAAAAAGGGCCCCAATTATGCTCCAAAAAGAAAGAAAGTTGCTACGGATTTGACTCGAGAGAATCTGCAGAGGTAAGGACGTGATTATTATGAATGTAGATCATGATCAGTAGAATTTATGACAACAATTACCGGATGGGTTTAGTGCTAAAGTTCTCTGAAGCATAGAACTCGGAATCACCAAAACTGGATGGGCAATAAGAGGATAGGGATACGATATGGTACAATACTCTTACAGTAATATGGAAATTCTTGAAAACTGGGATGTGATACATTGGGATATCTATTTAAAAAATATATGTTATGTGCATTATTATATCAATTATAGGCATCAATTAAATTGTAATATAAAAACAATAGTAATTAGGAAGGGTGCATTTATATCTTGCAACGTACGCGTACAGACAGAACTATGTTTTGATTTCTATCCATTTTGTTTAATTGGGTCCTTAAAAATTGAAAATAGAACAGATAGACTCTTCTTCTTTTAAGTTAACCCAAGAAAAAATTGTAAACTTACAGTTTAAACCTCATGTATCTTGCCCCGATTGTTATATCATTCCAATATGTAAGGTATTGGTATACATATCCCCACAATTAGCATCTATTAACTTTTGTACACTCCCTTTTAAGCATTTCTGGCTACTATACTGACTATACATGAATACTGTTCTCTTTTTGTTTATTTTTTCTTTGTTTTTGCATTATGTGAATGCACACCCATGAATGAGTGCTCTCACATGCAGTTATCTTGCTGATAGCTTTAAATGATTGTTTCTGTAATATAGGGGTGATTGGAAGGAAATAGAGTTCAAAGAGTATAACTTCACCGCCAAAGGTCTGCCTACTGAAGGTGGTCATCTACATCCACTGCTCAAGGCAAGGACATAATTTCCATTGTATCTTTTTAATAGAAGTGGCTTTGCTTTGAGTACCATAAGACCAGAATACTGTATAAGTCCTCAGAGGCAAATAGAGTTGAAAGAGAAATACAAGGTGATTCTTTTGTTTTAGCAGACTTTCAGATAATCCCACCAAAGTCTGCAGGTGCTCAATTTGAGCTGGTGTCAGTATGGTAGACTTTTTGTTTGCAAGTTTTGTATAAAATTACCTGTTTGCATATAGCATTGCTAATTGAATCTCCCAATTTTCAGGTACGACAGCAATTGAAGGATATTTTCAGACAGATGGGGTAAGACCTGTTTCTTGTCTAATATTTACTGATTTATGGGTTCTATCTACATATACATCTCCCTCTATACGACCTAGTTCCACGTTGGCATGATTTCTGACAAAATCCTAGATCCTTACTCTATATATATCTGGCATTTATGTCTTGTTTTTCTGTACTAACTGCAGGTTTGAGGAGATGCCTACAAACAATTATGTTGAGAGCAGGTAGCCTATCTCGTCTCACTTTTAGCCAACTTGTCTTATTTATAATAATGGAAATCATAGCTTATACTACATTGAGGATTTGTAGCCATACCATATTGCTAAAACATCTACTGGAAATTGTGGAATATAGATGCAAATTTATAAATGGGGATAAATTCGAATTCTTTTCCAACGAAAAATATAATTTGATTCACAAGCTAGGGATCTGTTTCCAAAGAACAAGATGCCAAGATTCTTTAGTCAACAAATTCAATATAATTTCTGGCCCAGAAAGAAAGGAAAAAACAACATGATTATTCACAGGTTATTTTGCGTTGCTCACTGATATTTCTGTTATAACTGGACAGCTCACGGAGTGAATATAAATTATTTTATTGATATTTCCGGGTTCTCTCAAACAATTGGTTTCAAAAACCTCCCATAAAGTAAATATTCAACTGAATATGTTATACTAGACACGTGAATTTTGCCTCTCTTCTTTATATCTGTAAAAAATATTTCTTTTTTAAATTGTCTCATGTTTATAGTAAAAAATAAAAAATAAATCTCTCATGTTGCATTTTCTTCCATGTGATTTCAGTGCGTGCAGCTCATTATGTATGTGGTAGCTAATGGTGAGATACTAAAAAAATGTTTATGTTTGCTTTACTTGCAGCTTTTGGAACTTTGATGCGCTTTTCCAGCCGCAACAACACCCTGCCCGTGATTCTCATGATACGTTTTTTCTACAAGGTCTTTTTAACGTTGTTGCTTTTATCGTGAGCATTTCTGTATCTAGCTCCCAACTGATAGTTGTCTTATGTTTTTTTTTTTTTTTTTTTTGTAGCTCCTTCAACTACCAAGGAACTGCCTGAAGATTATGTTCAGCGGGTGAAGCAGATTCATGAATCTGGTGGTTATCAATCCCGAGGGTATGACACTTGAACTTCCTTTAATGTTTTAACCCCACAAGATTTGAGATAATGACTGTTATCTTTTCTCTTTTTGGCAGATATGGATATGATTGGAAAAGAGAGGAAGCAGACAAAAATCTTTTGCGAACTCACACAACTGCCGTTTCCTCCAGGATGCTGTACTTACTAGCACAGGTGTGTTTATTTTATGAATCTCTTCATGGCTTTCAATTGATCACTCACTATTGCAGTTTTATTTACTAAACCAAAGAGGAACTCTTCTATGTTAGCTTCAAATTCTAACATTTTTATTCAATTGATGCTACCTTGGTGCAAAATTTACTCTCCTGACAATGCCCTTTTTGTGATGGAATTTTGCTTGCACAATGAGTTTGTTAATGTAAACCAAAAAGTATTCAATCTTGACTTAGTATCACATTTTTGCATGCTACGTAGTGTTATTTGTAAACATTTGAAAGTTGGAATTTTGTCTAGTAAGCTTGCATACAACTTGTAAAGTGTAGTTATAAATTTCTTCATATTTTCCCCAACAGGTGTTTCTTATTATTTGTAGTATTATTTGACATAGTTTCTAGCTACCTATGGTAGTTGTAGGTTCTTTAATGTCTTTCCGAATTCGTTTTGCATGCACCTGCATAAGTAGACACACACAATCCCACTAATGCGGTCCCAAAGTCATAATTGTTTTTCTTTCTTGGCATTCACAGAAACCATTTGCCCCGAAAAAGTACTACTCTATAGATCGTGTATTCAGAAATGAAGCAGTAGATCGAACTCATCTTGCAGAGTTCCACCAGATAGAAGGTATTATTCGGTTTGTTTATATATACCCGAGCTAGATATCTGCGTACATTCACTAGGTCCATAACTCTGTTCATCTTGTGTTCTGCTATAAAACTATGAACTGAATTACTCTTAGAGATTTAAATTAAAATGAACAATCTGGTTCCTGGTTTTAGGTTTGGTATGTGATCGAGGGCTTACTCTTGGTGACTTGTTAGGAGTACTCCATGAATTCTTCGCACGTCTGGGTAAGACACTAGCTGGCATTGCTACTGACTTGGTTTTTGTGCTTTGATGTTGGAGATTGGGTATTACTATAATAGGAAACTTTTTTTTTTTGTTTTTCTATTTTTAGGCATGTCGAAGTTGCGATTCAAGCCTGCTTATAATCCATATACTGAGCCTAGCATGGAGATTTTCAGGTGATAATTAATGCTCAATAAGGTGGAAAAGGTTGTTTCATGTTTGGTAGTTGAAAATTTGATAAATTTTTCCTTTTTTTCTCAATCAGTTATCATGAAGGCTTTGGGAAATGGGTAGAGGTTGGAAATTCTGGCATGTTTAGACCGGAAATGTTGCTTCCTATGGGACTCCCAGAAGATGTTCGTGTTATTGCATGGGGCCTCTCCCTCGAAAGGTAAGAACAAATTAATTATCATTACTGTTCATCACTACCATTTTTTAGGGATTCTTGATAGAAAAATACTCCACATGATGTTGATGTTTATTCTCTGTGAACTTTAATTGGAACCAGACCTACCATGATACTCTACGGGATTGACAACATCCGAGATCTTTTCGGACACAAGGTAACACTTTACATCCTATCTTCAAGCTTAGTCGTTAGTTTTCCATTCATCAGAATTGGATTTCACCTGGTTCTCTTATTTTGTAGGTCGATCTTGGTCTCATCAAGAGAAACCCAATATGCCGCCTTGGATTATAGAATATTTGGAAATTTCTGCTACCGTTGCAAAAATTTTGTTTTACTGCATTTTGCTCATTTCGAATACAAAATGTACGCATTTCTTCATTAGAAAGTATGGCAGGGAAACTTGTTTGATAAATCAAATGATAACAGCTAGATCAGGTTTACCTTTTGCGGTGATTTAATGACTCACTGGTGAGACGAAGATTGATATTACTGTATTGAATCCTTTATTGAAATTTCGAACTCCATTGTAATGATTTGTATTTGTTCAACAAACATTAAACCACACAAAAAATACAAATACATTATAAGGGTTTCATGTGAAGAATGATCCATGACAAAAACAAATGACTAGCTAATAATTTTGTAAACATCATGGACGTTTTGAAATAAAACCCGAATTTTAAAAAAATAAATAAATGTAATTGACGAAAGAAAAAGATTTTCATTACAAAACATTCTTGAAGTTCACGAAACTATTAGCTTTGATCATAGGTTGGTCTTTGCCGATTGATTTTGTCAAAAATTATGTTAGTTTGCTGATGTGGCAAAAATTCTGTTAGTTTGCGGATGTGACGTGTCATGTGGATTAAATCAAGAAAATATTTGAAGTAATGCTTTAAATTTTGAAAAATCATAAATAAAAACAAGAAAAATATGAAAGTTAAATGGACCCAATCCAGGCCCGCCCGATAGGCCATAGTCCCCAAACTAACCCAAACCCTACCCCATTTGTTTTCAGCTCTCTCTGTATCTCTCTCTGTCTACGTTTCCTTACTCATCGTCGCATCTAAGCTCGCTTACGACGAAGCCTAGCTCGGCACTCCAACAACCAGGTTTCGCTTCTCACATAATAATATAAAGTCTTATTCTTTGATTAAGTTTTTGCGATTATACTGTGTTTTGGTTTCTGGGCATTGTTTGTCTGTGACATTCTCTGTAATTTTGATTTTCCCCTTTCGAATCCATGATCTCTGAATGATGTTAAAAATGGTAATTAGATAAAATGTATCTCCATCTTTGACTGGTTTTCATTGGTTGTCTGTTGGGCTCTTTAAATTTTTGTTGGAGGTGAAACAATTGGATTCGATTCTTTTCATGCTGGGAAAGCATTAACTTTTTGTTTAGTTTGATCTGCGTTGTTTTATTTTTTTTCATTTTCAATTTGAAAAATGGCACTTTCTGTAACTTTGAATTTCATTTTAGAAATTTAATTTAACCCATCCTATATCTCCATGTGCAATTTATGCATAAATAGATTTTAGTTGAGGGTTCTCACTGGTGAACTGAACTAATTTGGTTTTCAAAGCATGAGTTTGATGTGGTGATTTTCTTTTAGGTTTTTCTCATCATATAGAAAACAACACAATGAATCTTGCAGCATCAATATGCAGTAGATTGGGTGTCAAGCACCTGGTTTCGAATACTCCTGTGTACAGCAGAGCTTCTGGTACGAGTTTCATATCAGCGAATGGGTTGTGCTATTTTAACTGTAACATGAGTGTGTTGTGTTGCTGCTTTAAGTTCTGATGTTTTACTGAATGTGCTAATTTTAGATGTCACGGCAGAAGGATTGAGTTTGACATTTAGGCGCTGGGCTACTAAAAAATCTGCTGGATCCACAAAGAATGGCCGAGACTCAAATCCTAAGTTTCTTGGAGTGAAGAAATTTGGTGGAGAGGTGAGAGGCTGATGCGTACTTAAAGAAAAAAAAAGGTGGAGGATTCATCAATGCTTGTTGAATTCTTTCGTTGAGATGACTGAGGTTATTCTGTTTATGCTGCAGAGAGTGATACCTGGAAACATCATTGTTCGCCAGAGGGGCACCCGATTTCATCCTGGAAATTATGTTGGCTTAGGGAAGGATCACACCCTTTTTGCTCTGAAAGAAGGCTGTGTAAAATTCGAACACCACAAGCTCAGTGGACGCAAGTGGGTGCATGTCGTGCCCAAGGAAGGTCACATGCTTCACCCTGTCTATGCAGATGTTGCAACCACTTAGTTGTAGACAATGTCATACGTCCTTGTAAGTTTGTTTTAGATCTTTTTAAGTTCAAACCTTTTCCCAGGTTGGTGATTACAATAACAAAAGCTTTGTTATGCCAAAAGTCAACAGGTTTCTGTAAATCAGAAACTCCGGATCTTAGGCAAAGGAATGTTCATCTCACTTTTACCTGGATTATGGCTTTATAGCACTAAGGTCCTTCTGTTTCTAGTTTGGCCTTTTTACTGGTTTCAGTTTTGTTGTAATTGCCTTCAGAAGTTTTTACTGGTTTCCCCATTTAGAAGTTTTTCTCACCGTACTTCATGCTGCAATTGCCTGGCTCAAAACTTGGGTTCAACGAATCTTTACCATTGCTGAAGGTTAATGAAAAAAAAAATCTTGCATACATTTCATTTTTCACATTGAATCTCTTGCATGCCTAGCGTGGAACCAGTTTTTCTAGAGAGATTTATACTAGAATTTCTCCAGCAGCAAAGTAGTGACCGATTGTCATCTAATTTCGTAATTTCACAGCCTTTGCCAGCCTCAAGCTCGAATCCTTTACATGTGCATGCTTTAACCAGCGATTTAAATTGAAGTATACCAAATGTATTAATAATAAATAAATAAAAAGGGGGCAAGAAAGGCCCCAGTATATACAATGTATACCTTTACAAGCGTAGAGAATCTATGAATTCTAACTAGCTACTCTACTACCTACATTTCTGGCTTTGGACAAGTCTAAGAGAATACTATAAATTAAAACAGATTTCTTGAGCTATACAACAGTAACTTCGCCAAGTACTGCATGAGAAGCAAACTTGCCAACACCCAACGGCAATGGCCACCGAAAGCAAACGCCCTGCACTTCTCGGGCAACAGAATAGTGGAGGGAAAGGTGGTTCATTGTTTCTACTGCTTTCTTCTACATCATGTAGCGGATTCACTAACGCCATACGTCTATGAACTAAATGACCAACTGTAACATCATTTTTGACAACGGATGAGCAGAGTTCAATAACATATAAAGCACTTGTAAAAGAAAAATATATATCATAAAGAGAACATCAAGCATAGGCTTCATACCTAAGGGCATCATCTCTCTTCATGGTTCATACTCTTCACTGTCTGGAACATTCTTTGGAGACGGCAGCCATGGATTTCCTAAGCAACAAATCTCTTCCTCTTTTGACAGCTTGACTATAACTTAAGTTCAGTTTTTTAAGTCAAGTGATTGTAACTGGTAAGTCGGAGCATTGTTCATCTTAGTGTGTGGTACACCTACTGCGACAAGCAGAGTAATTATAATTCTGCCTCACTATCACTGTCATCAAGCATAGTTGATTCTGCCTCACTTTCACCCTCATCAAACATAGTTAATTCTACCTCACTCTCACTTCCATCAAGCATAGCTCCCTTCACAGGAAATTCATCGTCATCACCTGTTTGGGAATTAGAAACATCCTCACACGTGACACCAGATTCAAATCTTTTGCGCCTTTCCACTATAGCCTTGACCCTCTCCTCAAACTCTTCATCTGTGCTAGCCAGCATGTAGCGTAGTTTTAAATTAACGCAATTCTCTATCAGAACCTTGTGCCTTGGAATAATTCTGCCCTCAAGAGAGTAGCTGAAAAACCTGGACATGATTTCATCATGGTCAAATCCAATAGTAGAGAAGAAAGAAGATAAATTATTACACAAATGAATAAGCACAAATTGACAAGGTAAGGTTGAATTTGAATTCCCAATGCTTGAATTTCTGTCGTGATGCTTTCACCTTGGAAACTCAATGAGATCTTGCAAAGGGCGGACCATAGTTCTCCTCAAGTAACGGTACTTTGGACGGAGAACATCTATATTGTACCGGAGCAGCATGGGAAAATCAGCAATCATCTCACCCAAAACTCTAAGATGAATGCCAAGGGATAGAAAATATTTCACATTAACCTCAAGCTTATTCACAATGCTGCATCCCAAGAGCTCTGGTCCCAAAGCTATTACCTTTCCAATATCCCTCTCACTAACTCCAGCTTTGGTCATCAAGAATATGACCTGTATGATATTTGAGTAACATGTTACCAAAGGGGAATGCTAAAGGTTACTCCTTTTGATTAAAAACTGAACCTGGATATTAAATTTTTATCATGCAGGACCTACATAAATACAAAAGTCCTCGGTACAGCTATCTGTTTTAATGATACTAACTTCTAACTATTTCATGAGTACTATCTGCAACAATTTTTGGGCTTTTCTCAAGTACACCTCAATCAATGAAGCAATTAAACAATTACCAGTTACATACAAGCCAAACTAATACAAAATCAAATAAGTTATCAGATTTCATTTAGTCTGTTACTAAAAATAATTTACTATGCCTACATATTAAACTCAAAATGTTATTTTCATTCATTCAATCAAATGACCTGATATTCTAGTCTATTTATTTTTAGGGCTTCGAAAATAAAATTAACCCATGCACCAAACAGAATTGAACCTAAAACTCCACCTCACTTTAGTCAGCTTACTACAATATGAAAAAGGACGTATTTCCATGTTTAACTTCTAGAAATTTATTGCTACATAGATTTTGTGGTAGAGAAAGATATACATAATTGTGTGGATGCATGTGCACGGATGGTGTGTGTTTCAGAAAGGTGGGCTGGGTGGGTGGGATCTGTTCATACAAATAACCGTATAACCTTAGGGAATGATACGAAACAATAACAGAATTTGAAAAGAAAAAAACAAACCACTGGCCGGATTTTCTTGTAGAGGCTGTATGTTAGCAATGGAGGAAACTTTACAAGCATTTTGCCTATCGCATCATCGTGAATGCCTATGTCCTGAAAAAACTTTACCTGCATGATGGAAAATAAGTGCCGAAATCATCAAACATGTAGTTTGTCTATTTAGCATAAACCTATTATGCACATAATACATGAATAATTATGAGAACTAAACAGTAGTTGAGAGAACAAGGATACCTAAAACAGGATGAGATGGAAGATAACCAAATGGAAAGAAGAATTCAGATAGATTAGATTGTTCAGGTTGGTATCATGATATGTAGGCATCTGAACCAAAGTTTAAGGCATGAAGTATGGCATACCTTTGGCACAATGGTTTTGTCCAAATCAACACAGAAAACCATCGGTTTTATGACAAGCATTCTCCTCATACCATCCCGAGTTATGCCATGGTAATACAAATACTTAACTAGAGGCTTCCATCTTTCCTCAATGCTACAACCCATCAGCTGTGGCCTAAATGCTAGCAATTTTCCAACATCCTCGGCACTAAGACCAAATTCCTTCAAATAGTCAACCTGGATAAACAAGAGCAGCATCTCACTACATGTATACGCAAATCAGTAAGTTTCTTTAAAAAAATTTTATGAAAATCAATAAATTCTATATATATGTTAATACACCCAAATCAGTAAGTATTAAACTCCACATTCTCCTGAATTAAACCCTAATATATATGATTTCAATCAATCAATAATCTGCAGAACGACTCAGCTACCTTTTGGTTCATCTCATCCAGAGTATAGTAGCCAAGTACCCGGGGATAATCAAAGACCATGGTGCCAAAATCCTTGTCATTGATACCCATATCCAAGTAAAACCCGGCACGAGTTTTCACTTCGTCTAAACTGTAGGACAAGAGCTGCGGACATCGGCTCATGACACAGCCCATCCAATCCCTCCTAACTCCATTACTCTCTAAATACTCAACAATCTCATCCAATTCTTCATTGCTGCGCTCCAAAAAATGATCTCCCGCCTTCACAAGTGCCACCCCAATAAATCTCCCCTTAACATGAATTGACTTCAACCACAGAGCAAGTCGTCTAATTGAGCCGATGTCTCCCTTTGACAAGCAAATGAGCTTCCCAATTTGGGGATATGAGAGTGAATTGTGCTTCAACCACCTATACAATGACACTCAATTAAACCCAGTTGTGGACAAACAAATCCCTTTAATTCCCTACTTTTCATTTTAAGCACACTACTAACTAATAGCTCATGTAATTGCTACAAAAAAAACACATAAATTGGAAATTAAAAACCCCAAAGAAAAATACCAGAGAGAGAGAGAAGTGTTTGATTACCTGATACAGGGCACAACTTCAGATTCTTCAATGACAGTCTTGGCGCGAAAATTATAGGTGGAGCTGGAGAACTCCGGCGAGAGTTTCATGGCGGCGGCTTGGACCATGACGTAGTCAAGGAATTCGGTCAAGGTCTCGACCAAATTGGTGGCATAGGTGATGCCAAACTTGCCCTTGGTCCTCATAAACTCCTTGAAAATCTCTGCGGTGACCTTCCTGCGAATATCCAGGGCCCGCATTATCATCCGATGCTCATCGTCTTCATCATCAAGAGAAGTGAGAGAGGAAGAGTCGAGGGAGATAGAGCCAGGGAACTGAGGAGTGCGCTTGCGGAGGAGAGAGCGTTCCAAGAGCTTGGCTTTGTGGCCGGAAGGGTGAGGGTCTGGGTGTTGCTGGAGGTGGCTAGGGTTAGGGTTGGGGAGGTGGGAGAGGCGCTGGAGGAGGAGGGCGGTGGACTTGGAGTTGTGGTTCCGAAGAGAGAGGTCTTGGGGGTCATGGTGATGGGGTTGTGGGGTTCCGTGGAGACAAGAGAAGGTGTTGAATTTGGTGATCGAGTGTGCGTTTTGATGGAGGAGAATGTGAGGGTGGTAATGGTGATGTTGGAAAGGGAGTGGAGTGAGGGGAGAAGACAGCACCATTGTTGCTCTTTTAGGTTTGCTGTGGTTTTGCTGCTCCACAGCATTTCACAATGTTTGGAATTGGATTATGGGATATTATCCACCTCAACTCTCACTACAAGTGAATCCCAACTCAATCCAGAGTCATTCAAATTATCCATCTTTGATTGACTGAAGTGACTTGCATTTCAAGTAATTAACAGTGAGTTTGGATTGGATGAGGAAGTTTAAAAGTACAAAGGATTTCATAAATGACGGAAATTAATGTTCTAGAATTTGTAAAGTTTCGTGTTTGGATGACATATTTAAAACACAAAATTTAACATTTATTTGTAAAGTTGTATTTTTTTAAAACTCAATATCTCTTGGAATTTTAGAAATGACGACTTTTAGATAGAATTTAAAGTTGGGATTTATAATTTCCAAATTCCATGTTTTTCCCACTTGGAATTTCTAAATTTTTATGTTTTTTTATCCAAACACGAGAATTGGTTCATGTCAATTTAGAAATTCTGATTTTTGTCAAAATCCGAAATTTATTTCCCTTATCCAAACGCACTGTAAGAGAATTTATCATGTCCATTTCATTCTTTTCTTATTTCTCATTATCACTTGTATCAATAATTTAAAATAAATTGTAAATAAATTAGTTAATAAGTTGCGCGAACAGATTAATTATGATGTGATACTAAAGTATGATTGTAAGGTATAACTTGTGTACGCGTCACGATATAAAATAGATATTTATTAGCATTGCTTGGTAGTTAGAAATTTTAACACTGTCATCCCATGTATGACTTCCTTAGCATTGCTTGTTAGTTATTGCGCATCGTGTATTTATCCATGAGCTTCCAACTCAAGTGATGTTTTTTTCTTTTATGCGATCTCAAGTGATGTTATGATAATGTAAAAAATGATAGATTTTAAGTTCAAATCACATCGTATGAAATTACTGTGTTTTTTTTGGTCAATAGTATGAAATTACTGCTTTTAACAGACAATTTTGGGCCAAGGTCTAGTCCTTGGAAAATGGTCTTACTTATAGACTAGTGGTCTCATATTCAAACCCAATGACATTATGGTAATGTGCGAAAATCCTCCCTCTCCTGTAATTTAGATCATCGCTTGTGCCAAAAATACAGGTAGCTTTGGACCAAAAATGCAACTGTGCTATGGTGTTACCATGGATTGTCCATGACAACACCAAGTCCAATATTTTAGAAATATTGACAGATGAACCAAGTAATGTGTTTTCTTCTCTTCTTTTCTTTATTACAAATTTATAAATAAACTCAATCCTATACATGTATTTATAAAAAAACTCAAACACTATTTAAACATAGAAACACACCCAAAATCAACCTCAAAATCAACAATTGTATATTTTTTGGGTGTGTTTATAAATGAGTTTTGAATGTGTGTAATGATGGGTTTTGGATGAGTTTATAAAGTGTTTTGAGTGTTGGGTTTTTTTATAATTTCAGCCTCCATTTTGGGTGTTATAGTAAAACTCCCTTTTTTTATCCTGAAATGGAAAGTCATAATGTCAAAAGGCAGACAGGTGAAAGCTGAACGTTTCAGGGATCAGCGTCAGTCTATGTAGACTCTGGAGATAACAATCAAGAACCGGAAAGTCTCTGTATATAAAGAAGCTCTCTTCTGTTCCAATTCCCTTTTTGGTGTTGTGTTTTCCTTCTGAACCAAAATGTGAAATCTGCTTTGAATGAAGTAATCTTTGACAATTACAATTTACATTGACCAGAAACTGAACAGGAACAGAACAAATCAATTACACATAAAATTTGTAGCTTGTTTTCGCCATAAACATGCGCTTCCAACAAATACGAACCATATCCGCTGATGGCACCCCTGATCCTTCTCTCTCACCAAATTTTCTGTGAGTCCAGGTTCATCCTCAAACTACATTCAACATCCCAAAGATATAGCAATTTTATGCAACTTCAACTTCAGCATCCCTTAAGAGAAGCTGTGGACCATGGAACCACCCCCATGTACAAAAATTGGCTTGGAACACCACCTAACTCCAAAAACCAAAGAAGAGCTTGCTGGAGCACCAACAAACAGGCACTCAAATTAGCCTGCTGTATTATTAACAAAGAATCAAGAACAATCAACATGAATCTGCTAGTCCTGGTCAGGTCTCTCTACATCTTGTACACCAGATGGTTCAGGGAATATATCCCTAGAATGCCGTCTGCGTGAGGATGAAAGTTCACCACCACCATTTGGGCCACTTCCCTGTGAACCGGTGGTTCCTGAACGTTTTAAGCCACTCCCTCCTTCCCCTTTGGTAGTGGAGGCTCCTGGTATGACCACTACCTCAGACGAGCTGCGCCAACTACCAAACACAGCAGCATTCCAAGACCCTCTGGAAGACGTTGTTCTGAGCCTTGCAGAGCCAGAACTATCTTCCCTCACCACCTTCAAAGGGTTTTCCAAGGCCTTGAGAATATATCTCATTAGGGGGCGCCTTGAGGGCTTGGGATTTAGGCAGGACCTGGCCACAACAGCCATGGCCCACACTTCCTCTAATAGGTCCTCATCCACAATCAGAGATGGATCCACAATTTTTGTCACAAGTTCCTTGTCATATATACTGATGTATGGTAACGTCTGATCTAATAATTCCTTCATTTCAGCATCACTGGAAGCACTGATGCCCAACTTACCTGTTACCAGTTCAAGTAATACCTTCCCAAAACAGTAAACATCATAGGCACATAATGCTGTCGATGAACCTGGTAATTTGAGAGAGATAAAGAATTGGGTTATTCGAGTGCAAGAAAATAACAAAAAATAGCTAAGGATCATAATTCACTATGGACTAAGACGAACTTGAAGCCTTAGTGATAGAAACAAAAGCATAAACTACACCAGATTTAAAAATATAAGCTACACCACTTAAAGCTTTACCAAATAATAAGTTAGTCGTTTGGAAATTAAATAGGCAAGAAGAAGATGCTTGCTTGTATTTTGGTTATGGCATTCAACTCATATAAGGATAGGAAAAGGCTTTTTTTCTTTTTGGCCCTTGTCATTTCCTGAAGAAAAAAAAAATGAAAGAAATGCTTGTATTTCTTTTTAAGTTTTCTCATTTTAGTTAAAACAAACAACAGAAAATTTTGTGGAACTATATTCCGTCCAAACATATGGAGCCTTTGAGCGTTATTAAACATGTCAGTCACTTTTTAATGCCTCCAAGATCCAAAAGCCTAAAGGACATGTCTAATAAAACTTTTATGAAAAAAAGAAAAAGAAATTAACATGTATAGTTGGCCCAAAGAGCCCAAGTCTGTTTCAGTGCTAGGAAATCAATAAAAGGACAGCAAGACATAAAAGTAAAAGGAGGTTAAAATGATGTGAAGTTTTATAACCAGATATGTACATACCAGAAGCACCTTGCTCAGATGACCTGCATTGTAAAAGGAAAACTAATAAGAACTGTATACACGCAGATCTATTAAATCTTTACAAATGATAATAAACCTAATGCAAAGGCTACACGTAATTCAGCAAAGATGAAGAAAGTAAACAAATACAATTAGGTGTATGATACTATTTCTTAGTTTGACAGGATCCACATCACATAACCTTGTTTCAGGCTTTAGCTTCGTTTAGGCGGCAAAGATAGCTAATACCAATTAACACAAATGTCTTATAAAAGATATGGCAGACAAAAAACATATGTGTCGTGTTAACAAGCAAATAGCAGAAGGAATACCACTGAGTCAGTTAAAAATTTGTAGGGGGTGGGGTGGGGGAAGATAGAACTCATCATGTGGTCACACCTAAGGGTTTTTCATTGGACATACAGATATCATGAGATTTTTTTTTTGTTTTTGGGACGGCAGATATTATGAGAATTAAAGAAACTTGTTTAATGTAGAAGATGTATTGCAAGAAACAATTACTAAAGCAGTACTGGATTTAAAATAAAAATAAAAGGCAAGGAAAACGTATGGAAGTAAGCAATTAGGACAGCAGCAAGGAACGGATATAAAAGAAAAATTACATGCTGTCTTTGCGAAAAAGACTAAACATGTCAGGAGTTACCATAGTAACTCAACAATTGACCGAATAGCAAGACATATCAAAAATAAATAGACAATAAAATATAAAACAAATAGAAATTGTTCCTCCAGGAATAGTCACAGTTTGGAAAGAGGAGACAGACAGGTGAATAGATACAATTATGAACAGGACACTTACTGTGGCAACCGCAGCAACCTGGTAATTCTGCTTTGATGAGTATCTCCTTCTTGAGAACAGACATCAGTCAGGCTCCCTAGTCGCACTTCAAATTTATCATCCAGAAGTATACTGCTTGCTTGAACATCCCTTCATTGACCAAAAGAAAGCTATGTCACTACATGCACCACTAGGCATAAGTTCTATAATCTGGCTTGTGGGATCATCAATTGCACTAACAAGAATGCTAAACTAACAAAACTGTGTTGCTCGCTCTCACCTAAACAAATTGACTGTTGACAAAGTGCAAAGATGCAGCACATAAAAAATTTCACTCATTGAAGAATTTACATATATAATTAACATATGAAAATAGAAACAGTTCCAATATTTTGCTACATATTTGTTTCTACCTAAACAGTAATCATCCAAATTTATATTTTATTTTATTCTTTTGAGAACAACCATGCTTTCAAGTTGGTCAAGTTGAATTTCAAGAGAGTGCCAGGCCTCAGTTCAAAACCTCAAACAGATAAATCATTACCAGGAAGCTTATTGAGCAAATTTATAGATTCCCTATCTTGTGCTTGTGACATTCATTTGAGATACAAATCTATAGCTTTCCCATCACTTCTGTACTTTAAATATGCAAACTCCATTAACTAATCCACTGCAACAGCCATCTGATGCTGACTTATGTTGAAGATTTAGTCTAAAGTCAAAATGGCTTTTGACACATTCAAGCATATGACTTCATGCCTCAGGGATATTATAATCACCTCTTACAAGCTCCAACCATAATTGATGCTTGGCTATTTTTATAAACGAAATAAAACAAGATAAAAACATTATCTTCCCTTTAAATTTGTCAAACACATTATATAGTTTCTTGTAACTGATAAACACAGGAGTATCTTGACCAATATATTTGACCATCTCTGATTTTTTTATTCCTGAGACTAGGAACAATGAAATTTTGTCGATAGAATAATATATGCTATGGTTCGTCTCAGTTCACTGTACTGAGAGTGCAAAATTTGAATGAGAGAACCTCTTACAAAGCCATAATTAGTCCATTGTATCTTTAGCTTTGGTGTCATAGAGCCTCAGAAATGAACAAGTAGTTTATGCGAGTTCCTAAATGGTTTTAACTTCTAATGTTGAACAAGTAGTTGATGCGAGTTCCTAAGTGGTTTTAACTTCTAATGTTGCACAGAAAGCCCTTAGAAATCCTAAAGATGCCATTAAATTAGTGCCCTTCTTGAGGAAATGTTACAGAAAATAAACTCCATCTAAAAATCAATGTTACATATCCATCTAAAACAAAGAACTAAAGAGATACTATAAGTCAGAAATAAAGGAAATTATGAGAACCTAATTGCATGGAGAATAAATAAAAAAATATCAGAAGGGGAAGAATTGAAACTTAACAAGAAGTAACTTTTAACGTACCTGTGAACGAGGGGGGGATTGCATTCATGATGCAGATAGGAGAGACCCTCTGCTGCACCTAACGCAATCTTTAATCTTGTTATCCAATCCAATGACTGTAAACTATCATCCACTGTGTTGGTTTTCTTGTACAAGGAACTTGATAAGTCCCCATTTGGCATATATTTGTAGACAAGGAACTTCTCATTCTCATTCTCTAAACAGTGTCCCAAAAGGGGAACAAATCTTGTATGTGACACCTTATTAAAGAACTCCAATTCCTGTATGTATGCTTCCTTTTTCATTGAGCGTAAATCAATCCTTTTGATGACCACAGGGATCCCATTTTCCAAGACACCTCTGAAGAGATCCCCTGAGTGACCATTTTTAATCAAGTTTGTATTGCTGAAGTCACCTGCGGCTTGGAGCAGCTGCTGATATGTGAATGCATCTCCTACACTAGAAAAGTTAATTGATCCTCCAGGCGGTGGTGGACCGCTGCCTGTAGTAATTGGCCCTACACCAATCCCTCTTTCAGTTGTAGTGCCCCTCTTGCGTAAACATAGGAGTAGTACCACCAAAAACAACACTAAGAGCACAATCAAACCAACTCCCCCCAAAACTGCTGCTAATATGATCACCTTTTTATTGCTCTTCCCAGGAGGTTTTGCTGGAGGAGGAGGTTGTGTAGAATTTGGCTGTCCGAAATTATCAAAAGTCAAACCCCTACCATTATAGAATGATGAACATTCTGCCAAAGTCTTTTGATTCTTCACATTTCGAAGGCAGTTGCGATCAAGAGATGCACTAGTGCCCACATAGCCTGGTACACCACCTTGAAAATAGTTTCCCGAAATATCAATAACACTGAAACGTCCAAGTAAAGGCGTAAGACTTCCATAGAACAAATTCTGAGAAATATTGAATACTGCAGCAGTGGCATTAGCATTCAAGCTAGAATTGGGAAGCAGACCAGTGAAATTATTGCCAGACACATCAAGAAGACTCAATCCGGCCATTGACCACAGCACTTTAGGAAGACCCCCCGTGAAACCGTTGTTTCTCAGAACTATGACCTGCAACTGTGTTGAAGTCGGAAACAGATTGTCTGGCAAAGTCCCACTAAGCAAATTGTCTGCAACTATCATTCTCTGCAAGTTCCTTAACCCCCTCAAATCCGAAGGTACCGACCCGACCAATATATTGGCACTGAGATCAAGGTCAACCAGGCTATCAAGGTCCCCAAGTTGAGCAGGTATTGAAGCAGTTAACATGTTACTTGAAAGGTTCAAATACTGAAGCTTCATGAGGGTCCCAATGCCCAGAGGAATGGAGCCGGATAAGTAATTGCCAGAAATGTCAAGCACAGAAAGATTCCGAAGATTGCCAAATGAAGTAGGAATGGATCCAGTGAGCCGATTTCGCGAAAGATTAAAAACGGAAAGGCGAGACAACTGGCTCAAACTAGCAGGAATTGTCCCAGTAAGGTTATTATGAGACAAATACAGACCAGTTAGATTTGATGAATTTCCGAGACTCAATGGAATAGGACCAAGTACAGAACAAGAAGTGAGATCAAGCACTTGCAGGGACCTAACTTGTTGGCCAAACCAGTCAGGAATGGAACCCGGAAGCAAGAAATTGGAGGCATTAAACGACTGCAAAAGGGTGAAATTGGCTAAAGCATCGACTGAAAATTGTGGGTTTTGACTGCCAAGTCGAGTCCTTCTAAACCCAGAAATGTTAATCCCAACAACTCTTCCATTCTGGCAATAAATCCCTCTCCAGATTATGCAAGGGTCTGCTTTTATGGGCCAATCCCTGCTTCTCAACCCTAAGGACGATCTGAGCTCAAGCAGAGCCACTCGCTCAGTGGTTGAACCCAATGGCAATGGCTGGCTCTGTTGCTCAAATGTGGGCTCAAACAGCAACACCACCACCAAAAACAAGGCACAAGAGACTATGCTTCGCTGATCCACCATGGCTCATAAAGATCCAACCATGCCCATCTTACCTCTCTCTCACACACACAATCTCAAACATGTACATGTGTTTGACTGCTATAGAACTCCCCAGAATTACACATGCCCTGTACACAATAACAATGCATTTCTCTTTCTAAAAGC